GTTGAATGTGATGTTTGTGAGATAAAAAGTGAAATGATTATGGGTTTGATGTGACATTTTGTCTTATTGACTATTTTAGTTTATTTTGTCTTTTAGTGCTATTTTAGCCAAAAAAGCCAAAAAACTAAAAAAGTTACTTCCCAGACACCTCCTAAAAAAATTAAAAAGCTAACAGCCTGTACCAAAGTTACATATTTTATTTTTCTCTACTTTTTGCACATCTTTTTGTAAAAAATCAAAAAATATCACAAAGATATTAATTTTTTTATATCATATTTTAACTAAAAAATCAAAAAATTTCTAAAAAAAAAAAAAAAAAAAGTCTCTTCTAAAACGAGACCTTAGGCCTAGTTTGGGAAGACTAAATAAGTGTACTTTTTGACTTTTTTTGTATTATGTGTAGAAAAAGTAGAGAGGAGATGTTGATTGATGTGACCCAAAAAAGATAAAAACATGAAATAAGTGCACTTTTTTCTTTGTAGCCAAACTTGACCTTAATATTCATTGCAGCCATTTTTGAAACATTGAAGTTAATGCAAAACATTTTGCGTACCTTCGAAAAACACCTTTCTGATTAATCCAAGTTCTAATTTCAAAAAGACTGGATGTAAAGAAATGCAAGAAGTATGATAGTGATCTAGTTGCAATTATGGACATAAAATGCAAAAATGAAAGCATTGTTCGTTGGTAACAATAGTTTGATTCTTACAACCAATGAATGATCCCTTGATATTTGCAATAGAATGTGGTGAAGATGTCATTACACTGAAATACTTGAAGAAACCAAACACACCATTCATAAGGAGAAGATTTCCAAAAACACCAAGGTTAAATGGTCCACTACTCGTGCAGGCACTGTCAACAGCAATGAAAGGGAACAAACAAGTGGATTTTAAAGATGTAACAAGGATTCTTTCACTTTACTTATGTGTAGCTATATGTTCTTTGCAACAAGTGAGAACTCAATTGTTTGGGATTTTGTGTCTGTTTGGCAGAGCTTAATTACAGTTTATTTTAGTTTTCAGCTTAATTTAAGCTATTTTGATGTGTTTAGTTTAGCTTATAACTTTTTGGAAGTCAGAAGTCAGCTTATTCTTTGAGTGGGGCAGGAGATGTTTTAAGAATAAGCTGGAAATCAGCTTAAGCTGAAAGTTATAAGTTATAAGCTGTTGAGACATAAGTTATAAGTACTTTTCCACAGCTCTACCAAACAGGGTGCCAAATATATGGAGGACCTTAAAGCAATGAAGAAGACATATGATCGGTCAAACCCAATAAAAACAACTTTGGTAAACTTTATTCATACCATTCACAGCACTTGAGACAAAGTTAAAAGTTGTGTGATAGGTTTGTTGGTAAGTACAATTTATATTTACATTCATGTTATATACTTACATCCTCATTCTGTTATTAAAAGATTTGAAGAGTTGATTGAGGTCATTAAAAGATTTTAGGATAAAATGAAATTAAAATATAAAGTGTACTTTGGTTTTTCTTTTTTTACTCTATTTTTCTTTGTTTTTTATTTTTTATTTTTTATTTTTTATTTTTGAAGGTAAGTATGCTGGAACTTTTTCACAATACTTATATTTTAATCCACTTGATGCTCTTTTGATTTTGTGCTTTTATTTATTTAGATTGGTGCTTTTTGTGCCCTTTTTAATTTTTGTATTTCAAATTTTCTTTTGGGAGTGACCTAAGATAATTTTTCGACATGGGGC